TGGGGTCCAGAACAGTTGGTGACCTGTCTACAATCACACAGTAAATCATTGGCACAAGTGAGATTAGAATTTGGGAGTGCTGGCATCTACCCCCTCCCTCACACAGTATGAATTATCCTTTATTTGCTATTTCCCAGACGTGAGGTTAATACACAATCAGGACATCAAAAAGTCCAAGAAGAATTCAGTTCCCTGCTATAATAAACAGAAAGACCCAGAGATGTGAGTATGAACTTAAAATTCATAATCAGCCCTCAGTTTGTTTATAGTAGCAAAGGAAGCAATTTTTAAAAATCTAATGAAAAGAAACAACCTCTTTAAAGTACAATGATTGTTACATGACAGCTGCTTTACTGGGCCTCAGGCAGGGCCGGATTATGACATTCTGAGGCCATAAATGATGTCAAGTGTAAGCGGCCCCATACCATTAAAATTTTTTTTTATTATTTTCACAGAAAGGATGTTGAATATATAAACACAAAAGCTTTATATTTGCATAAATATAAAGGCAAAGTTGTAAAAATAGAATAATCTTCATTTTCAGCAACACACTAACGATAAGATTTGGAAGATTTGGATGACCTTGTAAACTGGAGTAATAGTAATAGGATGAAATTTAATATGAGAAGTGTAAGATCATGCATTTAGGGATTAATAACAAGAATTTTAGTTATAAGCTGGGGACGCATTGATTAGAAGTAACGGAGGAGGAGAAGGACCTTGGAGTATTGGTTGATCATAGGATGACTATGAGCTGCCAATGTGATATGGCTGTGAAGAAAGCTAATGCGGTCCTGGGAGGTCAGGTGAGGTATTTCCAGTAGAGATAAGGAGGTTTTAGTACCGTTATACAAGGCACTGGTGAGGCCGCACCTGGAATACTGTGTGCAGTTCTGGTCTCCCATGTTTAAGAAGGATGAATTCAAACTGGAACAGGTACAGAGAAGGGCTGCTAGGATGATCCGAGGAATGGAAAACCTGTCTTATGAAAGGAGACTCAAGGAGCTTGGCTTGTTTAGCCTAACTAAAAGAAGGTTGAAGGGAGATACGATTGCTCTCTATAAATATATCAGAGGGATAAATACCAGAGAGGGAGAGGAATTATTTAAGCTCAGTACCAATGTGGACACAAGAACTAATGGATATAAGCTGGTCATCGGGAAGTTTAGACTTGAAATTAGACAAAGGTTTCTAACCATCAGAGGAGTGAAGTTTTGGAATAGCCTTCCATGGGAAGCAGTGGGGGCAAAAGACATATCTGGCTTTAAGATTAGACTTGATAAGTTTATAGAGGAGATGGTATGATGGTATAACATGATTTTGATAATTAGGCCTATGATGGGATGTTAGATGGGGTGGGATCTGAGTTACTATAGAAAATTCTTTCCTGGGTATCTGGCTGGTGCACCTTGCCCACATGCTCAGGGTTTAGCTGATTGCCATATTTGGGGTCGGGAAGGAATTTTCCTCCAGGGAGGATTGGAAGAGGCCCCGGAGGTTTTTCGCCTTCCTCTGTAGCATGGGTCACTTGCTGGAGGATTCTCTGCACCTTGAAGTCTTTAAACCACGATTTGAGGACTTCAATAGCTCAGACATAGGTGAGAGGTTTTTCGCAGGAGTGGGTGGGTGAGATTCTGTGGCCTGCGTTGTGCAGGAGGTTGGACTAGATGATCATAATGGTCCCTTCTGACCTTGATGTCTGTGGATAAGGAGTACTTGTGGCACCCTAGAGGCTAACAAATTTATCTGAGCATAACGAAAGCTTATGCTCAAATAAATTGGTTAGTCTCTAAGGTGCCATAAGTCCTCCTTTTCTTTTTGCGGATACAGACTAACACGGCTGCTACTCTGAAACCTCTCTAACGATGACATCATGACAGAAATACATTTTAGACTAATTCTTTGAACTAATTGCATATGTAAGTAGGGTAGACTTAAATAATACAATTTATTAGAAGACTTCTCAGAAATTTTTTTCTTCTCTGTTGGGGCATCTAAATTGTGGTATTCCTGGCCTGAATACGCAATGAGACTCGTAGAGGATATAGGATGCGGATAACCCACAAGCTTAAAGCTCAACTGTTAGTTATATTGATATGAATTACACCCAGGTAATAAGCAAACCATCAGAAAATTGCATGTGCATTGTGTTTTTTCAATAAATAGATTTGTTTTGTTTTTATAGAAGGTTGTGCTGAATTACCTAATATTGGTACTAAAATAGGTAGCAGAAAATATTTATTGAAAGCAGTAAAAAAATGAATTTTATATTATAAATATTGAGATTTATATATCTATACAACAAAAAATTATATGCCAAAAGCCTGTGTTGTTTTACCAGGCTATTTTTGTGAAAGTTAGTGCTATTTTGTCTATGTTCTCACAGGAAAACAAGAGAGAATATATAATTTTGTTTACACCATGAATAAGGAAAATTATTCTTTTCATATGAAAAGCGTTTGATTACTTTTGTTAGGGAAATACAAAGATTATCCAGACTATATGTAAAATATATTTACAAATGTTCATTCAGATTTAATTTTTGCTATGAAACAATGAATTGTTGGGATTTTTCTTTTGCCATACTATAAAAATACAATGTATTGTGCATATGATGTGTGAGTTATAAGTTTATATAAGAATTTGTACAGAGCATACTACCTATAATAAAATAGTATCTTGCATGCGCCAAACCCCCCGAGCAGAAAATCTAGGCAGACATCTCTCTTCGTGTTCACTTCTCTATCCTCTGTCTCCCCCAGGACCACTAATCAATCTCGAGTAAACACCTCGGACACACAGAGGAACAACAAGCTATATGCGCGAAAGAGAGAGAGAGAATTTACCAGAGAAAAGACTGGTAATCTCCAGGCAGGCATTGAGAAAGTGAGAAAAACTAGCCTATATTCAGGCAAATATAATGAATATTATAGGCCTTAATAGTCTATAAATCATATAAATCTTCCCACTGTATTTTCCACTGAATGCATGCGATGAAGTGGGCTGTAGCTCACAAAAGCTTATGCTCAAATAAATTTGTGAGTCTCTAAGGTGTCACAAGTCCTCCTTTTCTATATGCACATAGTCTGAAATAACTTGCTCATCAAGTACTCAGAATATTTTTATATATATGTATATCTCCCTTCATGTCTCTCAAAACCCTCTTTGTATCCTTTGGTCAGCATTCTCTGATATTTACTGTGAAAGTTCCCGAAACTGACAGAGGGAAGCGAACACAAATTTATCCTCCTCAAGATCCACTCGATCCAAGACCATAAGACGATCACCCGCAAACTCAATCACGTGAAGCATGGATAGTGCATGAAGCAGAAAGCCGCGTATGCACTAAAATACACAAGTGTACGTATGTACGGATCAAAAGAAGAAAGAACAGGAGTATGAGGTTGGCAGGATGGCTTCACGATACTACTGTCTCCGAACTCATCATTTTCCCGATTTTATCGGCAGTGCGATTATTTATTTGTTTAAATAAATTATGAAGGCATGGTCAGAATTTTACCAGTAGCAACTGGCCAACAAAACGCTACCTTAGGAGACTGATAGCAGACTTACTCATAGAAATACTAATTTTACAAGTGCTTTTATCATTTTTTTTTTCTCAGACCTAGCCTCTCCCCTGTCAATAATGAACAATTAGTGAAGGGTAAGGGTATGTGTATAACCAGATGTGTATATTTTTGTAATATTTGAATGAAAATGTCTGTATTTAGAGTGAATCTTTTTTTTCTCCATATCTCCTTTACTTATCAGCTGATTTTGATAAAATTTGACATGGAGTCAGTTTTTTCTTTTTTAGAGGCCCCTCATATTACAAGGCCCTGAACGGTAGCTTCGTTATCTTATACCTTAATACCGCCCTGGCCTCAGGAGATCTGAGTTCTTGGCTTGGCCCTGCTGTACAAACGTGAAGTAAAAAGACAGCCTGTGCACTCAGCTCCTGCCTCAGTTTTCCCAACTGTAAAATGGGGCTGTATAACACATTGCGAGCCTGGAATTGAAAGCCCTTTCCAGGTGCAAAGAAATAGAAAACCTTTGCATGTGCTTCGGCAAGGTGCCAGGACCCCCGTTGCTGCTTCACGCTGGTTATGTTGATAAGTGGCGGGCGGGGGCAGGAGGGGGAATAAGTTTGTAAAAGATCCAGAATGTCAAAGGGAGAAGGCTGAGGTTTCTTCTTCTCCCACCGGCCCACAGTGGACTGGAAATAATTTAAGACCTTCCCTCTCCTCCTCCCACACAATTTCTTTGCTGCCCACTGCTAGGCCCTCCCAGTGTAGCGGGAAGGGATTGGGCTAAGGGGCTCAGGTACATGGTGGAGGATTTAACATTTCTGCCTTTTACGGATGGGTACTGCCCGGAGGGAATGATGAGGCGAGATGACACAGCTGTCCTGACAGGTGAGGCCTGGAAGAATAGGCCACCCGTCTGCCCGGGCTGAGGTCAAAGAGCTTTTCCCCTTGACCTTCCCAGGACAGCATAGGCTGCCGTGCCATGTAGGCCCCCCCCCAGGCCATGGCTTTTAAGCAGGCACCCGGATACAGGCTTGCCAGCGGGCCCTCGCCTGCCGGCTACTGAAACTACAGTGGCTCCCCTGGGTGCTGGTGGGCTCCCCTGGGTGCTGGTGGGACACACCTGTCACCCGAGGGCAAGACTTGCCACCAGGGAGGGGGAAGGTAAGGAGAGGAATGGGGGGGGGGGCTCCTCCTGGGCCAGGTGTTTTGGGCTGCTGGGCAGGGGACGGGGAGGGGGGGGTCGAGAGAGGAAGAGGAGGGTTAAGCGGGGGGGATTGCGCCCCCCCTCCCCCCGCAGCAGCTGGCCTTGCACGACCCCTGCAATGTCGCACACCCAGCGCCCGCAGCCCCAGAAGCGGGCAGCCGCTGCTGGGGTCGCGCAGATTGTCCCGGGGCAGCGCAGGAGAACGGGCGGCGGCCGCCCGGGGCTGAGCGCAGCTGCTGGGGAGAGCCGGGAGGCGGGGGCCGGGGATGGAGGCGGCCGCCTCCGGGCCCTGGGGGCGGGCCCTGGCGCACAGTGACAGGGCTACGCTCCGATCCGCCGGCCGGGGCCTCCCGGTCCCCGCAGAAGGGAGCTCCCCGCCCCGAGCAGGTACCGAACCCCGGGGCTGCCGCGATCACCCGCGAGCCGGGCTGGGTGTGCACGGGGGTTGCTGCACACGCGTGTGAAAGGGGGTGCACGAGGGCATGGGGGGGGGGGTGACACGAGCAGACAGCTGATTAATTTGCACCGGGGTGGAGGAGGTGATCGGCGTGCGGGGCTTTTCACACCGCGTGTGGGCTTTTTCCACATTGGTGGGGGGTGATGGGCACCTGGGTGCGGGGGGCTCACCCGGGGCTGGAGGATGCTTTGCGCGTGGGCTGGGGGCTTCCGTGTGTCTCTTTAATTCCCCCACAGTGTGTTCTGGGAAGATTATTTCTTGTAATTTTTGTGATTTGTGTGGGATAGTTCTATAATAATGGAATTGCCCTTACAGCTCACCTGGAGCTTCACAGCCCTGGGACTATGAAGGTCAAAGTTATTTCAGTCTTGGAAGATAACTACATGTACTTGGTCATTGAGGAAAATACCAAGGAAGCTGTTGTAGTGGATGTGGCTGTTCCCAAGAGGGTAACTAGGAATTTTGCTACTTAAAGCCTTGAAGTTGAGGGACATCTGGTCCTGGTTCAGGACGTTTGTTCAGAGCAGGCTGGCTTGTTTGTAGACACCAAAGGAAGGAATCTAGAGCATTGGGTTAGCTTGGCTTCCACTAAGAGCACATAGGGACCTATCAGATAAGGGCTATGGGGTTAGTTAGTCCAGGGTGGATGCCTGCAGCAGGTCTGAGCTCAGTGAAAAGTTACAATCAGGAAAAACAAGAAGCCATTGTATTTATTAAACCTGTGTATTGTGATGGTGCCTGAAGTTCCCAGTCCCAATGGGTCCTGTTGTGCCAGGTGCTGTACAAATGAGGCCCAATCTTGTAAATGCTTCTCTGTTTGTTTGCAGGATTTAAAAGTTACTCAGTGTGGGTCTGTAGGATGGACCCTGGGATTGCAACTGTGTGTTGTAAAATGACACTTGACTATGGCTTAGGCCCAAAATGTATATTGTTTTAGGGGGAAAGGTCAAAAAAGATGTTATACAGCCTAAAACAAACAGAAGAGCCTTAAACGTTTTTTTAAAAATTGAAGTAAAAATGTTTTTGTTTTGTTTTTCTTGATTCACACTTTGCCCTGCAGTGCTGGACACCCAAACACAAGAACTGTCTTGTGCTAGTGGAGAGGATGGAAAATGAAACTGACTAGAAACAAAGGTGAAACTGGCCTGGGTTGTTTCATTATCCAAAATGCAGTGTTGCCAACTCTGGTGATTTTTATCATGGGCCTGGCATTACTAGGTTTTTGGAGTGATGCTGCTAAAGTCCTATCGTTCTGTGAGAATCTCAGCTTAATTGTTTTTTAAATGAAAGTTTCTAGTCCTCTTCATGGTTTGGGGAAGAGCCTGAAAATCTGATCCTCAAGTCTCACAAACCAGAAGGCAAAGAGACAAAACCCAAATTAGTTTTTAAATTATTATTTGTTTGTTAATTATTTTATTAAAATTATTTAATTGGCTTAAAAATGATCAGAGTTTTTAAAAATAACCTCCTGATTTTAGAGGCCTGACTTGTGATTTTTGAGCTTTTGAGGCACAAAAACAAACAAGCAGCATTAATGGTGAGATGGAAATGATGGGGATCCATTCTTAAGCACTTGCCTGTTGTCTTAGGGTACATCGACATGGCAATAAAAAACCTATGGCACCAAGTGTCAGAGCCTGGGTCAATTGGCCTGTGGAACTAAAATTGCAATGTAGGTGTTTGGGCTCAGGCTGGAGCCCAGGCTCTGGGATCCTCCCCCTTTGTGGGGTCTCCGAGCCTGGGCTCCAAGCCACGTCTGGACATCTACATTGCCCTTTTTAACCCCGCAGCCAGAGCCCTGCTAGCCCAAGTCAGCTGAGTCAGGGCAGCTGTGCCACGGGTCTTTTATAGCCGTGCAGATGTACCCTCTGATAACAGAAGCCTCCATCCTGCATTGAGCTCCAGATGGGCTGATCCTTGTTCCAGTGCAGAACCCCAGGAGTACAGAGTTCCACCCAGGCCGAGTTCATTGGAGAGTCTGAGTCTCTGATATATCTCCACATTGTGTGCTGCGTTCCTTACACTAAAGGGATAAATACTGTAAGTACCAAGGGAAATCTGACTGTTAGTGACTGTTGCTTTGCTGATTCAAACAATTAATTAATAGCTTAAGGCCTGATCTGGAGCAGCCTTAAGAATATGGTACTAAAACTGTATTTTATGTCGATTTAAAAAAAATGCCTCTAAAGCCCTGGGCTTTATTAGGACATTATTACATCCCGTGTGAGCACACAGGGTGGAAACCAGTCTTCTCCATTCCTCTCTGTCATTTGCTACTGCTTCCATTTGCTCTATGGTGTTGAGATAGACAGTTGTGCCCTCCCTGGTAATGGGGGTTCTTAAGATTTCTCTTGGGCGTCCTTGTTTCCTCCCACGAGTTCGTTTCCACTGGACTGCTACATGCAGGTAGCCGTGTGCATCTGAAGTACATGCCCTATGTATGGCAGAAACGAGCTGTGGGTTGGTGAATTCTCAGATCTCTTCATTGGTGATGCTCTCTCCAGCCAGTGCCCAGAATCTTTCATAGGCACTTATTTTCAATGGTGTCTCATTTTCTGTCTGACTTTTTAGTAGATCTCCGGTTCTTGCAGCCATATCTTAGCACCGAGATTGCGTCTGAATTGAAAATTCTCAGTTTTGTTCTGGTGCTGTGTAGCCTTGATTCCATACGTTGATGAGTTTTGTAAATGCTGTGGATGCCTTTCCTATCCCTTGGTGTCACTTCTTTCTTGGGGTCTCCGTTGGCTAAAATGGTGCTGCCCAGGTAGGTGAACTGTTGTTCTTTCTTGATATTTTTGCCTTCTAATGTGATGTTACTGCTTGACGTCTTGGTTTCAAGGATGTTTGTTTTAGCATAACTAATTTTGAGCCCTACTTGGCATGCTGTTGTTGCTGGGTTGTCTGTCTTTGTTTGTAACTTTTCCAGGGTGTCACTTAGTAGCGCAATATCATCAGCAAAGCCTGGGTCTTCTAGGCATTTGCCATCTATACTGATGTTTGTGTTGCTAATACACTTCTTCGTTATCCAGTCTATGGCAGTGCTAAAGAACAGTGGAGATAAAATGCAGCCCTGTTTCACACCAGTGTCCATATTAAAGCGCTCTGTTTTCTGGGTGTTCACCCTTACACAGAACTTCCTTGATGATCTTGATAACTTCAGCTGGGATGCCGTAGGACTGAGGAATATTCCAGGGTCTTGTGCAGGCTTTTGAAAAATCAATGTAATTGACCAAGAGGGGAGATTGCCATTCTACACATTCTTCTATGATGGACCTTAGTGTGAACATCTGATCCACACAGGATCTCTTGGGCTTGAATCCAGCCTGGCCTTCCCTAATCTTTGTATCAACTGCCTTTCATCCTGTGTAGTATCACGTCAGAAGGCTTTCCCTACTCCTCTCCAGTTGCTACAATCAGTAAGATCAACCCTTTTTGGGTATTCTGACAATGATTCCATGTTTCCACTGGTCAGGAGGGGTCTTTTTTCCCCGAACTTGGTTGAACAGCTCTGTCCGTTTCGTTAAGATTATGGTATCAACCACGTTTAGCATTTCTGCTGGAATTGGATCATCTCTTGCTGCTTTGTTACTTTTCAGCTTTTTGATTGCAGCCTTCACTTCTGATATTTCTCTAGTGACCGATGTTAGTCAAGTTGATCAGGTCCATGTATTTCACCAACATCAGATGCTGAAGTGGAGCTGGGTCTATTGAGGATATCTTTGAAATGCTTTGCCTATCTGCTTTTCAGTTCTACCTCAGTTGTGAGCTTTCTTTCTTCTCTCTTTGCTTTTTATTGGCCCATGTCCTGTTTTGAAGTTTCCACACAGGGTTTTAGTCACTTGGTAAGTGGCTCTGTGGTTTCCTATGCTAGCAGCAGCTTCTGCTGCTCAGTCTTCAACATATCTCCGTTTATCTTTCATTGAGCTGCTTTTCACTGCTTTGTCTGCTTTCTTGTACTCCTCCTGTACATTTTCCAATAGTTTGTTGGTCTTAGAATTCAGGAGTTTTCCTTTGGTAATTTTTCTTTCCTTGCTGAGACGCCACGTCTCTTGGCCTATCCAGTTCTTGCTCTGTCTGTGTTGATATTCGACTGTGACTGGTACAGCTTGATTCACATTGTCTCTGAGTGCTGCCCTTTTTCTTCAGGCCCATTCTCTGTCACCTTTCTCTGCCTCTGTCAGTGCCTGCAATCTGTTCCTTAGTTCACGCTGGAATTTCTCACAGGACTCTCTGGTTTCAGTTTTGTACTGTCGATTTTCTTTACCACTTTCTGTTTAAAGTTGATCTTCCTCTTGTTTTAATTTCGGTTAAGCAATGCAAAGATTGTGGTTGCTGTGAACATCTGCTGCTCAGTATTCCCTTAGATCTTGGACAGATTACCTGCATCTTTGGCGAATGCAGTTGTGGTCGATCTGATTTTTTGTTTTGCCATCTGACAAATTCCACGTGTCTTTGTGAGGGACCAGGCTACTTGCAAGAACTAGGTTGGTGACCAAACACAATTCAATGAGTCTCTTGCCATTTTGGGTGATGGTTCCCAGCTCATGCTTCCCTGTTGCTCTTTCCATTCCTTGGTTATCACATTCTACTCCAGCATTAAAGTTGCCCAAGACAAGGAGTAAGTCGCGTTTAGGTAGTCTGTCAATCACACTTCAGAGGCAATTATAGAAGTCCTCCTTGTCGTCATCGCTGTGCTCCTCTGTTGGAGCAGAGCACTGATTGACATCTTTAGGCCTCTGGTTTGGAGTTCGGCATCTACGTTGCATTGGTTCATTGATTGCAGTTGATGAATGATTTTTTCCCCCACAGAATCTGTTGTATGGGGCGCTGCTCCCTGTGTGGTGGTGTCCTCTTGCTCGAAGTACTTCTTATCCACACCTAACACTCCCCTCTCACCGATGCCCAGGATTTCAAGTCTATAGTTGTCCATCTCCCTCATGATCTGTGCGATTGCATTCCACTAGCCAACTCTGAAGTCTTTTCTTGCTAACAGCATCAAACTTCCTGGGGCCCTGGCTTCCAGAGACTGCCTTCCACCAGGAGGCTTCATGCAGCACAGGGGGTTGATAGTGTTCCTTTTCACCAGAATGGCAGCCTGGCTCTGTTTCTATAACCAGTGAAGAATTTTGGGGTTTTTTGTTATGAGGCTAGGTGTTTAGTCTTGCGCTCAACTCTCCCTGCTTTAGCTGGCCTTGAGACTGGCAGCTGAGCCAATCATGGTGCAGCAGGTTGGAGCTACTGGGCTTAGCAGCATGGAAAAAGCATCTCTCATAGCAACACAGCTTGTATCTGACAGAATTCATCCACTGCCAACCTGGCCATCAAATACAGTCACTGGCTGGGCAGGGGGCCCGTCGGGGAGAGAGGATCTGTCTCCATTTCCGATAGGCTCTGGAAGCATGATGCCTCCAGGAGCATGGGGGAGTATGGCTGCTGCTATATCCCTAAAAGGGGTGCAGGGTGCATTCCTCTCCAGGGCTGGCCGGCTGGGGTGGGAGACAGTGGGGCTATGCTTCACCTTCTCGTCCCCTTGGGAGTGGTCATGCTGATAGCATGGCTGCCTCTGGGCAGCCCTTTCTCTCCTGCAGGTGGGTTGCCCTTTGCACCCTTCTTGTGCCCAGTATCATTTCTGATCACAGTTTGACCCTTAATCAGACCAAAATGACGCAAATACCCAAGGCCAGACTTTCATATTGATGTGAAAAGATGTGAAAGGCATGCACATAATTTGTACCTGGAGGTGCTGTGACTGCATGTGCAGTTGTGGTGATTGCATGTGCAAATGACATGCATACAGTTTTGTGCACACGCTTATGCAAATTGGGCCAAAAAGCGCTGTTGCACAAGTGGAAGCCAATATCACAATCTCCCGATTGGTAGGAATCCCTGTCAATATCAATGCTGCGAATATTTGGGAGGGGGATTCGAATTAGGGGCGTATTTGCAGTTGGATTTCCAGTGGTGTAGTGTGAGTTACCCCGATCTGATCTGTCTGTGATCACAGAGTGGATTCCCCCAGTGTTCTAGGGAGCTCCCGAAGGCATCATGCTTAAAGATCCTACCAGAAATGGGCTGAGTTTGTGACATTTGCGATAAGACATCTTGAAAGAGTTTATGGAAGCTCACAGTGTTAGGAAGATACATGATGTACTAAGCACTTCTTTTGATTCCCAGGAGAGGGGCGGTCAGGAGCTGTGTGCAGTATTATTTGCTCACGTTCAAACTGCCAGGCAGAGACCCACTGTTCTGGTTACCTCTTTCTTCTAACAAAAATATCCATCCCTTAACTCTCTCACTGATGCTGGGTTCTGATTTATAAATGAAATCGCACTTGACAACATTTAATACTATGTTGCATGAAAAACCATCCCAAGAGGCTGCGCCTTGTTTCTTGTACCTGTGGCTTTTTGTGTGCCAGCTGTTTTTTACGCTGCCTTTCCAGCGCCAAGTATTATGCTGATCGCAGGGTGAATTTGCAGGGCTGGTAGTTAGAATCGCTGCCTCCTCAAATTTCAGAGGAACAGCCGTGTTAGTCTGTATTCGCAAAAAGAAAAGGAGGACTTGTGGCACCTTAGAGACTAACCAATTTATTTGAGCATGAGCTTTCGTGAGCTACAGCTCACTTCATCAGATGTATACCGTGGAAACTGCAGCAGACTTTATATACACACAGAGAATATGAAACAATACCTCCTCCCACCCCACTGTCCTGCTGGTAATAGCTTATCTAAAGTGATCAACAGGTGGGCCATTTCCAGCACAAATCCAGGTTTTCTCACCCTCCACCCCCCCCACACAAATTCACTCTCCTGCTGGTGCTAGCCCATCCAAAGTGACAACTCTTTACATAATCAAGTCGGGCTATTTCCTGCATAGATCCAGGTTTTCTCACATCCCCCCCACACCCATACACACACAAACTCACTCTCCTGCTGGTAATAGCTCATCTAAACAGCAGGAGAGTGAGTTTGTGTGTGTATGGGGGTGGGGGGGATGTGAGAAAACCTGGATCTATGCAGGAAATAGCCCGACTTGATTATGTAAAGAGTTGTCACTTTGGATGGGCTAGCACCAGCAGGAGAGTGAATTTGTGTGGGGGGGTGGAGGGTGAGAAAACCTGGATTTGTGCTGGAAATGGCCCACCTGTTGATCACTTTAGATAAGCTATTACCAGCAGGACAGTGGGGTGGGAGGAGGTATTGTTTCATATTCTCTGTGTGTATATAAAGTCTGCTGCAGTTTCCACGGTATACATCTGATGAAGTGAGCTGTAGCTCACGAAAGCTCATGCTCAAATAAATTGGTTAGTCTCTAAGGTGCCACAAGTACTCCTTTTCTTTTTGCCTCCTCAAATGTGATCTGTTCACACATAATCTGAAGTCACTGGGAGACCCTGCAGGATGCTAGTTTTGCAGAGTCGTGTTTCAGGAAGCAGCAAGGCTTTCAAGATTGTCTTTAGGGTCTTTAATGATTAACTTTCCAACACAGGATCTTATTAAAATCTATGCTCTTTGACATGACTCTTTTTCCCCCCCATTTTAGTTACTAGAAATTGTCAGAAAAGAAGGCGTTGCACTTAAAGCAATTCTTACCACCCATCACCATTGGTAAGTGCTCTGGAGAGGAAAGGGGTACAGTACTGTATGTTAGAAATGGAAAAGGTGCAGAGAAGGGCAAGAAATACGATTAGGGGGATGGAACAGCTTCCATAGGAGGAGAGATTAAAAAGCCTGGAACTGTTCATCTTAGAAAAGAGATGCCTAAGGGGGGGATATGCTAGAGGTCTATAAAATCGCGAATGATGGGAGAAAGTGACTAAGGACGTGTTATTTACCCCTTTGCGTAACACAAGGACTAGAGGTCACCCGATGAAGTTAACAGGCAACAGGTTTAAAACACACTCGGTGAAGTACTTCTTTACACAACACACAGTCAACCTGTATTGTGAGGGATAGGTCTGTCAATGGCTATTAGCCAAGATGGCCAGGGACACAACCCCATGCTCCGGGTGCCCTAAACCTCTTAACTGCCAAAAGCTAGGACTGGACAATGGGATGGATCATTTGATAATTGCCCTGTTCTGTTCATTCCCTCTGAAGCACCAGGCATTGGCCAATGTCGGGAGACGAGACACTGGGCTAGATAGATGGACCTTTGGTCTGAGCCAGTATGGCCGTTCTTATGTTCATAGTATGCTCTCATCAGAGTGCATGAGGCTTGGGGGGAGATCTATGCAGAAATCCCTGCTCATGACATGACAGCAACACTCTGTGATCTGAGAGATATCAAGAGACCCGATCCTGTGAGGTGGAAGCAGAGTGCTCTCCGTGCTCCCCAGGATTGGGTCCTGAATGCAGAACAGGTCTATTGGGCTGCTGTGCTCACATATGGATAAACTGTGTCCTGTTCCAGAATGTCAGGTGGCCCTTTTTCATGCGCTGAAATCTTGAGTTGCGGTATTTTTCATGTCACAGCACACACCAGGGCTGTCCCCGCAGTACTGTAACGCTAGGGTTACATTGATGCAGGAGCCTGAGACTCGTTTTAGCCCTCCCCCTTCCTCTGGGGTATCAGTAAATGCCAAGTGTATCTTGGAGACGCTAATCTCACTCCCTGTCTGTGAAGGGACCACGCCCGAGGAAATGAAGAACTGGCCAAGGTGTATCCAGAGCTGCAGGTGTATGGAGCAGATGAGCGGATTGGAGCCTTGACACACAAGGTGACTCACAACGAGGAGTTAAAGGTACGAGACTGGAGGTTTATTATTAACATTGTTGTTCCTCTTGTCTCACTTAGCGCCCCCCTCAGGATCTCAAAGCTCTTTACACACGATTGAATGACACCTCCTGAGCCCTGGCAGGGAGGTCGGTGTCAGGATCCCTGTTTTACTGAGGGTGATGGCGAAGAACAGAGCTGGGAAGTGATGTGCCCAAAGACCCACAGGGAGTCAATGTGAGAACGGGGACCAGAGCGAGAGAGTCCTTTGCTTGCCCGGGGATGAATGTGCATGAGATTGTAGGGGCGTAACCGAGGGAAGGATTCGGTCCATGCTCCCACTACACACACTCTTACTGTCTTTGGTTTTTCCTGCTGTGTAACCCACTGCTGTGACCAGGGGAGAGGGGGGAAGCGTGAGAAAGCTGCTGCCTGTCAGTTGCTCCAACTACTAATTCATTTCGGTCTGTCTCTGCTCTAGCGTGTGTGGGAATCTATGGGATCGCCGCGCGGGGGTCGGTGCTAGGATCCAGCGTCAATAACCTTCCCTGGTTTACTGCTGCCAGGTTTCTCTGTGGCAGATTCTCATATGGAACAAATAGCCAGTAGATGGTAGCATTTTCCCAAGGTTATAAATCCACATGTGATAGATCGCCTCTGCTCGGGGACTCTTTGAAATCCAAATGTGCATCTGAATTTTACAAATGACCCTTTTCTTTAGAACGCATTGAACCAAATCCTAGATCTGAACACTGCCAGTCAACACAGTGCCAGAAATTTTGCAGCCCGTCTTTGTTCAAATAGATCCTGTGGACGAACTTCATAGCCGGCTTTATATACTCTGGGGTGGATGTGAGCACAGGCCTGTGAGCCAGAAACTGCCAATCCCCAATCTAAATTTCCCCACGCGTAACACAGGGATAACATCTGCCTGTTGTGAATCTTAATTTGCTATTTGTCCTGTTGGTGAAATGCCAGGAAGAGGGAAAAATGCCTTATAAATACTAAGCATAATTGTCACTTGTTGTCCTGCATCGTCTTTGGCATTAGCAGGTGGGGAACATGGAAAATATTCTTGCATGTCTGTCTTTGAGAATTTTATCTTTTGGTTGCCCCATTTTCATCTTGAGTCATCTAGTTATTGAGGTAAGGGAGGGGCAGGGCTGCCAGAACATAGGGGGGGCCGGGGCCATGGCCCCCCACTTTGTATCGGTAGTAAGGGCAAGTGACAAGGCAGGGATGGAGAGGAGTGAGTGGGGGGTGGGGCCTGAGGGGTGGCATGTGGGCAGGGCCTTGGGGGGGGTAAGGGGTAGCATGGGAGTGGGGCCATGGTTAGGGCCACTGGTGACCTGCCGTGCTTTTAGGAAGCTTCTGACGTTCCTGGGGAGGGGTCATCAGCATGACGATGTGCCAAGTCACTCACCTTTGTTCCAAACAAGAAGATACTTCTCTTCTCCACGGTGAGGCGTTGCTTCTAAAATGGTTGCAAAGCCAGGCCTTTCTGGTGATTTCAGTTGTACCGAAGAGTAAGCAGCTGACTTCTGAAAAATGTCGGCTAGCAGATCTCGGCTGGGATGGAAGTAAGCTGATCTGCTGTAGCATCCTGTCGTGAAGAAGGGAAGTCCGTATTGCTTGGTTTGGAAGCTCTCTGGGGCAGGGACCATCTCTTTGTTCTGTGTTTATGCAGCGCCTAGAGCAGTGCGGTCCCGGTCCTTGACTAGGGTCCCTACGTGTGGTGATAATACCAACCCGGATTGCCCCTTTGTCTCTGCAGTTCGGGGATATTAACGTGAGGTGCCTGTTCACGCCGTGCCATACGTCAGGCCACGTGTGTTATTTCATGTGGGAAGAGAACTCCCCAGATGCTCCAGCCGTCTTTTCAGGTATTCAGCACCTTCTTGAGAAGCCAGCCGGAGCTGAAAAGTCTCAGACAGTCTCCGATTGAGATCTCTTTGAGTGAGCTATGTGGGGGGACCGATCATTAGACTAGAATTCCACCCAGAATCATTCAGATTCCGTCCTCCTTTAGCTGCGATCTGCATGGGAACTGCCTCATTTTAAGGGTAAGCCTGAGCAAGATGGGCTTTGTTTTCCTTTAAAGTGATATCTGTCTAGGCCCTTCTCTGGCCCCTGACCCGCAGGGCGGAGCTGTTATTCCCATTGTGTGGATGGGGAACTGAAGCCCAGAGGTCCAGATCCTCTTAAGTATTTATATGCTTAAGTGACTTGCCCAAGGGCACAGAGGAAGCCTGTGGCAGAGCTAGGAATAGTGCCCTGCCCACTAGACCAGCAAAACATGCCTGACTGCCAACCCCGGGGAGTAAAGTCCGGTTCAGCCTTGGCACAGATACAACAGCAGGGTGGGCTTCCCCCAGGCATCAGCCCCTGGCCACAGGCTTCCCGCCTGCCCTGCAGGCAGAACTTCCTTGCCCTCCCCGCAGTAAGGTGACGTGTTTCCCTGCCCAGGTGACACCTTGTTCATTGGTGGCTGTGGGAAGTTCTTTGAAGGGACGGCCGAGCAGATGTACAGGAACCTGACTGAAATCCTGGGTGCTTTGCCAAAGGACACTGTGAGTGTCGCGCCTATTTCAGGGGGTGTCCGGGCCCTCTCCCCTATTTCCCTTCATCTCCCTCTCTGTGTCTCGGTGTAGGCCGGGCAGAGCTTTATGCCCGCAGCACGTTGGTGCCAACGTGCTTCTCCATCTTCTTGAGCAACGTGCGCTGCCTGGATTCTCTTTGGCTGGCACCAGCCTCTTGCCATTTGACACGGCCAAATGCCACTCTTTGACCGGAATGGCCGTGGCTACTTCATGAGTGTGGGGACTGGGCCCAGAACGCTCCACCAGCGTCTACTTCCCACCGTCCCCTCAGCATGAGTCGGATTCCTAGGTCAGAGGGACCCTGGTGATAATCTAGTCTGACCTCCTGCATGACACGGGCCAGAGAGCTCCCCCCAAATCATTCCTAGACACTGTGACTATGGGGAATCAGGCCCAGAGCTCTCCCCAGGCAGCTGCTTCCCCCTGGATTAATTGCAGTGGGCAAACCACGTGCATTAAATGCATCCTCCCTTGGTAGGACACCCTAGCCCGCTAGAGAGAAGAGCCCTCCAGAATCTCCGCCCAAGGTCAAGCAGCTGCTTGGCTAAGCAGCGGAGCTCTGCGGTGCACTCTGAAGACCAGCAGCCCGTGGCTCTGGCTGAGGGAGTTCCACATCCAGGCTCCTCCACAGGCGGGAACGCTCGTCCCCCGGAGCTCTCCTGGGGTCTCCGCCGCTGGGACGCCGTCTCAAGACGTGCTATCCTGGGTGGGGAGGTACCAAGCCCAGGGCGACATGCAGGCCGTAAAGGTGCATTGTCTCGTTTGCCTTGCAGAAAGTGTTCTGTGGGCACGAGTACACCGTGAGGAACCTCAAGTTTGCTTTGAAAGTGGAACCGGAGAACGAGATTGTGAAAAAGAAACTCGCTTGGGCAAAAGTAGGTGTTTCCCCTTCCGAAGCGGAGAGTCCCAGCGGGAGGGGGAGGCTGGAACGAACGTTGAGTTCTGCGAACGCTAGATTTGTTTCCCCTCTAATTGGTCTGTGTGTTTAAGGTGCTTGTCCCCATGTCTAGGAGCTTCTAAGCATCTGCCTCTGATATTCTCCATGAGCTCAGTGATGGGGACCGTCTCCATACGCTGAACGAGTCTGTGGTTTCTCCCCAGCTCCGAGACGACGAGGACTTGCCCACGGTGCCCTCCACTCTGCAGGAGGAGTTCGACTACAACCCCTTCCTGCGGGTCTCGTGAGTAGAGTTCAGCGCCTCCCGCAGCCCCCTGGGCACCAAGTGCCTCACTGGCAGGCCCAGTTGAGTGTGAGGGGGCAGCGGGCTCTGCGGGAACGGAGATGCCCCATAGCATTGCCCCGTCCTGCACCAGGCCGAGGAATGCGGCTGCTTTTCTGCCTTCCAGCAACAGACCTTTCACTTGGTGACTCACAGGGGAAGGGGAATTTTGCCTTCCCACCAGTATGAGAAGCATCAGGTAGGTGATGGGGGGGGGGGGGTCTCATCTCCCCCTAGCTCCCCATCCAGGATAACTCATTCCTAGCCAGCCTTCTACAGGGATATGACAGAAGAAGATACCCTCCCCATTGGCTTCTGCTCCCCACCAGTGAGGGTGGTGGGAGGAGACAGACTACAGCCAGATTCTGCTCTGTTACTCTGGTGTAAAGCCAAAGGGAGTCTCTAAAAACAAGACTCCAGATGGCCACCGGAGTCCCAGAAAACCAAACCTGGCCTTGAGTCTTGATTCCCTTTGCTGCTACGCACGGGGCACTCAATGGGTGTCGCTTGAACTTGCAGGGAAGAATCAGTGCAGAAATTCACGGGCAAGACGGATCCGGTGGACGTGCTGCGAGCTCTCCGCACAGAGAAGGATAACTTCAAGAAGCCCAAAGAGAGGCTGACCCCTCAGGCCATGCTGGCGTTCGAGTGGGGTCTCTTCAGCCCCTTCATGGAGAAGAAGTGAAATGCAGCCGGGTTTGTCGGATCGTTTATTTTGTGCCAATATATAAATGCAACCAAGGCCACAGCGAGGGCCAGTCTGTCTCCCCGCTGGGCAAGGATTGTTCCCCGTAGCACATAGTGTAGGGCTCTGTCCTGTCTGGCTTTAAATGATTCGGCCACTGAAGCTTCCCTTATTGCATGGGCCCCGCAGCTCGGAATTGGGGATGTAATTCAGCCTTGTTTCTTTTCTCCTTTTGATCCCCTCACTTCTAGCTGTACGTGTTTGAACCACCCTAAGCAATTCCTCTCTCTCCTTACACCCCTCTGTGAATGGTCTGATTTTCTGAGCCCTGCCTCTTAAAAGGGGTGATGTAAGAACCAGGTTCGTTTTTGTACCTGGAAGTAAACTATGGGCTTCTGGAAAACGGGGAAATCTGAATGTAAGGGTTCGAAGTGGAACTGTTCTGCCCAGAACAATTCCTGTTTTTAAAAGGCTGTTTTGTTGCTCCCCAAAACAAGATATTTTGGGGACATCTAAAACTTCCAATTCTTCTAGTAATTACTGGGAGGAGGGGCTGCTCGCTGAATGGAACGAAACTATGCTGTGTACCAATGTAGCATTAGAAAAAACACTTTTATTTTGCACGAAGCCAGGGCTGGCCTTGTCAACAGTGACTCTCACAAACGATAACTGAGAAACTTGAAAGTGCTGATTTCTGTGCCAAACTCCCCTTGTCTTCAGTTGTTAACTGTCTCCAGAAAATCAAAACGGGCAGTCAATGGGCCCCTTGTAGTGTGATCTGGTGATGCATGTATATTGAGTATATAAAGCAGTGCATCTTTTCAAGGAGCCGACACTGGCTCCCTGCAACCTTGACAGGTTGGAAAGGTTTCATGTAATAGAATTATAGTATGTAAGGCAAAAATTTACCACGCTTAATCACAGCAAGCTGAAACTAGCAGCAGGGTAATTGGAGGGGAATTGTCTTTTTGCTTAATAATCAGGAATATCTTTGTCAAAAGCAGCATTAAAAAAAAACACACCCTGTTTTTTAATATTCCCAAATCAAAATGTGATAGCAGGATTTGAAAAACAATTACTAGGGACATAGCATGGGCTTCTGAACAGATTAACCCCGCAAAATGCTTTAAATTGGAGCCCAGGCTTGTGGTCCTTGAAAGCAAGACTTTGCTGGGAGTTGCTTGTGCAGAAGGCCTGATGGATCACATCCCTTAGGCTCCTAGTTTGAAAATATGCTTATATGCTCCCTTTACCAGCAGAGGCAGATTAAGGAACCACAGTTAAAAGCCTGTGCAGATTTATGCACATTTAACTCTATGCAATTGACGAGGGGATTACTCACACCCATGAAATTAAGCACATCCATGTCTGCAGCATCAGGGCCTTGGGTCAGTAAGCAGCATCTGTTCTGCTGCTTTTCTCCCACTATAGAACATGAAAGATTCTTCCCCTCCCACGTGTACGTTTAGCAGAGTGGAAAGGGGAAGGACTTGTGTTTGTATCACTGTTAATTTTTTTTATAGAAGTAAAAATTCAAGATCTGCTTTTTAAAAAAAAATTGTCAGCCTTCCAATTTTAGTTTAACAATCTGAAAACTGTGTGTAGTACTTAAAGTTTGCAAGGCACTGGAGCAGTTTATTACAATATTTAGAATTAAGTGTTGTCTCCTCTGAAAGAAAATCTAGAGTAGCTCTGTAAACAGCTGTGAAAATCGGCATGCCTTGATTAGAGGGAGCAGTTCTAGGGAGCAAGTTGCTCTGTTTCAGGATTCCATAGCTTTTACTATTAAATAGCAGGCCTCATTCTCCACTACCTTGAGTTACTGTTTACACCAAAGTGAAAAAGCTGGATAAACACTACTCCGTTAAAAGGGCAGTGATTTTACACCTACATCACACAGGTGAATGAGAACACCAAGGAAGGCAGATTGGGCCCCCTAAAACGTCTGACTCTAAAACTGTTCACACAGCTTTGATTAAACTTGATAAGTTCTTAGCACTGGATTATAGTTGACCTGATTTTTTTTATGTACAGTGAGCGTTTTTTTTTAAATAAACCAATATAATTGTCTCCATACTAGGTTTGCACCGTACAACTTGTGTGTAGACCTGACCATGGTGTAACACTTTGATGCTAACCACCACTGATGTACAACTCTTGAGATTATTTTACTGATGTGTAGAATATAGCTCTCGTAAAGGGGTAGCAAAACAAAATGCAGATTACTAATGGGTTAATTTTACAGTGCAATAGCTAATTAGCATTTTATTTGTATATGCCTAATGAAGACTGCACATTTTAAATAAACTGAACTTGGGTCTTTTGCACTTTAGTTCAAAGTCCTAGCACTTGTGTACTAAACCTAGAATTGCATCACTTAACACTAGAATCCATGGGGCTTGCTGCAGTTAAAACCTACAGGTTTAATGCAATACTATATGTAAAACTATGCATGAGAAGGTATTCACTGAAACTAGCCCCCTCCTTGCAAAACAGGAGAGAAAAGCAATGCGAGAGTCTTGCCGGATGAGCAGAGTGTACCTGCTACTAGATTGTAATGACAGCTTTAAATAAAGCTTTGATTTTTTTTTTTTTAAACTTTGACATGTTGTGCATGTTACTGATGGTTTATTTTTGGTAAACATTTGATGACTTAAAAAAGGGAGGTACCAAGAGAAAACAAGACTTTCCTTTACAGGTATAAAAGGCAACCATTGTCTTTCACAACTTTGCTTTTGACAAGATGGAGGTAGATCTGTTGCTCCAGTTTGATCAGATGCTCTGTTTAGAACCAAAACCAACAAATACCTAAGATACACAGCAGACTGTTCCAAAATAGAAAGAGCTCAGCTTTTGCATGAATACTTCAGTGATCTGAAATGTGGTGGAATTTAAGATTTTCAAATATTGAGTCCCACCAACAGGCCAGTCATCTTCTAGCAAAGCAGAAGTTAAGTGAAATGGCATCTTTTGCTCCAGCTACCTAATTTTCCCCATTCTGCATTAGGCCCATGTAATCTTATTGGAAAGGCAGGAACCCAGGCATGCAAGAGAGATACTGGCTTCGTCAAAGCATTGTAAGTGAACAAAATCTGAGTTGCATCTCGCATTTGTTCTTTTTAAAAAAATGTAAAGCTCCTGTCCTCTAGCTGTGCGTGCTTAACATTTAAGCACTTGAGTTCTCCCATTGACTTCAAGGGGACTACTTGGATACATGAAATTAACCATGTGCATAAAGCATTTGTAGGCTCAGAGCCTAAACTCCCTGAATGAGGATTTCTAACAGCTTGTCAAGGCATGGCTTAGATTGGAGTGTAGTTTGCTGCTTACAAGATATCAAAAGAAACCAATTTGTTGGTCACAGTTTAACCATATAGCAACTGTAAGGTCTGCTGTGTTTTGTGTAGGACTTAAAAGGACAATAGCTTAAAATCATATATATTATTGCTGAAAGTAACATGTAAAATGATTCACTGGAAGAGAATTTCTACATTGTGCGCCCTTCACAGCTTTCTCTGTAGTCAGTTACCTTCATTTCACTCTGTGGGTCTCACACAGCAGGGTAGGGAAGAGAAGCATTTTTAAATATAGGAACATGTGATTATAAACCCACAAGGAGGAGTCCTGGTGCCACCAGGACGCCTCGGTGTTTTTGCTGAGACAGACTAACATGGCTACCGCTCTGTAACCTGCCACAAAGAAGAGTGGCAGGTCCAGTATCTGGAAGTATTTTAATTTTTCAAACCTGACAGTATCCCTTAATCCCTTGTCAAGTGATGGTCTAAGAATTCTTAGACCATACTACGTAAAGAAATTTAGTAGGAAATTAGAAATTCACAGTGAGCTCAAATCAAATAAAAAGGTCTTTACCCTGTTTAATATGAACAGTTCTCAAAATTGCCCATAAGCAAACTTCAAATATGTCGCAAGATCAGCCCGTTTAAGGTACATGTTTCTATCAAACAAACCGGAGACCATGTGTTCCAATGCAAGCAGACCATTGTTTTTAGGTGTGTTGGTGCTTTGCGTTAAATATGGAGTGACTTTATACTCACTACCATGATATTCCTTCTAGTAAGCAACTACCCTTGATTCTTTTCTGGTCTCACAGGCTTAATATTCTGGTCCTAGTATTTGTCGTAGAGTAGCAGCTAGAGGCCCCATTCAGAACTGAGCACAGTTATGCCGAGTACTGTGTGTCATTCTGAAATGAAAAGTGCCTGTTTAACCCTTCTGTGAAGCATACTGTATGAAGATCACTTGCTTGATCTGAGTGTCAGGTAAAATCCACTAGTGAACTCTGCTACTGAGATATTAGGTAGACTCTGCTGTTCTGTTAATCCCTCTAATTCACATCGGCAGTTGTAGACTATTTCAATGAAAAAACTGGTGACAAGTTTTTCTGCCCATTCATTCAAGTCAGAGTTCAACTGGTAATAAAAGTTTTAAACAAACTCACTCGCTTGTAGGCTGCTTCCATCCATGCCTATGCAACTTTCAGCTTACCTGAAATACAGGAAATGATATCACGGCTAGACTCCAGGAGCAGGAAATAGAGTACCAGGGGCCAATTAACCCAACTCTAACTTGAACATGATGTCTAAGAGTCACAGCCCTAAAACTTCATGCTGTGAAAATATAGCAGATGTGTTGCTCAGGTACAGGACTGGTAAAATTTTGACTTAAGAAGATCCAAATAATGTCACAGTTGACATGGGTCAGTCCTGGATTCTCTGTGTACCTTAAATGCATTGATTGACTCCAGTGTGACTGGGGGTGTGAAAAAGGAATGCAAGGTTGGGGCCATAGTGTGGTGGCTAATATGCACTGCTTCTTTTAAAGAGACGTATTTCACATCTAAAGTCAGCATTTGTTTTTATTTAAATAGCCTTAGAAGCTGTAGGAACTAATTAGCAGTACCAGGGTGTACACACATTATCTTCTAGCTGCAAGACATTTTCTATGTATAGATTGTGTCCTTCCAGTCACAGTATCCTAGAATTTCAGTGCACATGTTGACTTTTGAGGACCTTAAAATGACAGACAACTTAAAAGGGCACTGAGTAAGTGTACCTCTTGGTCTCACAGATTTACAGTCCCTGTAGAAATACAAGTGCATTATACATCTTCACCATTTGATATTAAATCCAGAGTTCATCTTCTCCACTGCATGGTACTCCGTGTGCAATATTTTTCCAGCTTTTTCTGAGTCTGTACCACCCAGCCATTGTTCATACAGTTCTTTTACAGTGAGGTTCCTCTCTGGAATTTCCATCTTAACAGATTCATACAACTTCTCAACTTGCTGAAGCAAATCCTTGCTGGATTCACCTTCTGCTCTGATCTGACCACCTCCATTTAAACAGCCTAGGTGCAACAAGAGAACATGCCTGTGGGTGTGGAAATGCTTTAATAAAACTTTAAGAGCAATTAAAAGCAACTAATACAAAACAATGATCTCAATCTGCAATTGACAGTAGCAAGGTAAGACTTCATAAATTAAAACACAGCTGAGTGGGGAATGAAATCAAATACTGTAACAGTTGGGGGACACAAGCCCTACAAAGGAGCCTATTGGTCAGTCATGGCCCAGTCGTGGTTCAGAATGGACAGCAATGCATGCTGATAAAAGGACAGGGAACTAGGACTTCCTGTTCCTCAGAGAGGGGGGGGGGGGAGTTGGAGAGGGAGCAGGAACTTGTGGCTCTCCTTCAGACAGCCTGGAAAAGGACCATGCTTAGACCAAGTCAGGAATAGCCTTTGAGTCTCAACTGAAGGAAGGAGATTGGAAAATCCTGCCCTCTCCATAAACAGAACACTGGGAGGGGGAGTATGCAAGCGTGGTGGATGACTGAAGAAAGCAGCTGGGAGGGGTCATGGGAAGAAGCCAGGGATTGCAAATGCAGGGGAGCAGTGTGCCTGAAACCAGAGCTATCAGAGTCAGCTGCATAATGCTTAGTTTGGACCATGCAACCAATTCTGCAGTGCTGGGGAACACTGCTACTAGGTGAAAATTAAATGAACCCTAGAGGAGGAATTGAGGCCCAGAGAGGGTGAAGAATGGCTGGTCAGAGCCAGTGCTTGCTTTGGACTTATTTACCCCAGAGGGATTGAGTTTTCCTAATTTAGCTGACTGGCTAAATTAAACTGCCCATGTATCCAACCAGAGGAGGCTGCAGCACTTCTACACCAGAAAGGTAAGAATCTATTTAACATTTTCTAAGAAGTCTAAGAATTTTTCCTACATGCGACTCCTTCATTTCTCACACCCTGCAGTCCCCTCGAGGTGACAGTGTCACTCTTGAGCTGAGAATATGGCTCTTTTCCCATCAGCCAAATGGAAGGAGTTGGGCATTGTGAGCGCAGAGACGGTAATTGAACATCACTGCCCAAGTTGAAGGGGGAAAGATTGGGCGAAGTGGTAAAGCTGTTTCTAGCACACTGGAACGGAGCACCACTTGTCTCTAAGCTAGTTGAAGAGCAGAACTTTCATTTTTGCATGGCTTTGGGTTTACAAAGCTAGGGGCAGGGCAGTGAGCAGGTTTTTAAAAGCTGAATTGTTCATTAAGAATTGCACCCCGTTTTCATATGCAGAGTTTCAATCATGACTATAAAGTAATTGCTAAAGAATTGTTGACTGCTACACTTAAAAAACAAGACCAGCACACCTGACTTAACAAAACACTAACACAAGGCCTCTAGCTTTCAGACACAGACAGACAGACATGAAGGCTTCAATCCAGCTCTCAGAACTTCAGAAACCCTAAAAAGTCTTACAGCAAACCTTGACGTCCAGTAACGTACCAGTGAAAGTTCCTGTGTAGCCTTACCTGATGGGCAAGCCATGACTTCAACATAGTGATAAGGTGATTTTCCTCGTTTCAGTTTTTGCACTAAATTCTGTATGTTTCGAAATCCATAAGCCAAGGCAAACTGCAGCAGGACTGTGCCATCCTTTTCCAGTGTCACTTCCTGGAAATCCTTGTTTCTAGGGAATAAAAGCAGGCAAAATCATTCGTCTAAATCAGGTTTCAGAGGAACAGCCGTGTTAGTCTGTATTCGCAAAAAGAAAAGGAGTACTTGTGGCACCTTAGAGACTAACCAATTTATTTGAGCATGAGCTTTCGTGAGCCACAGCTCACTTCGAAGTGAGCTGTGGCTCACGAAAGCTCATGCTCAAATAAATTGGTTAGTCTCTAAGGTGCCACAAGTACTCCTTTTCTTTTTTCGTCTAAATCAGGGGTTATCAAACTGGGGGTCGGGACCCCTCAGGAGGTCATGAGGATATTATGTGGGGGGTCGCGAGCTGTCACCCTCCACCCCTAGCCCCACTTTGCCTCCAGCATTTATAATGGTGTTAATTATATAAAAAAAGAGTTTTTAATTTATAAGGGGGGAATCACACTCAGAGGCTTGCTATGTGAAAGGGGTCATAAGAATGGCCATACTGGGTCAGATCAAAGGTCCATCCGGCCCAGTAGCCAGTCTACCAACAGTGGCCAATGCCAGGTGCCCCAGAGGGAGTGAACTTAACAGAGAATGATCAAGTGATCTCTCTCCTGCCATCTATCTCCATCCTCTAACAGAGGCTCCGGACA